GGGAGCCTGCATGCTTCCTTCCCAGCTGCTACCCAGGAGGACCTAGCTCTCGGGCCTCACGGTACAGCGGCGCCTCAAAGGGATCCTGTAAGCACGAAACACAGAATGTGCCGAGAAGCACATCTGGGCCAGCACACGATCACCAACGGTGGTGATGTTACGCCAGAGACCCCCCCCCCAGCTATGGGACGATTGGATCATTTCTTTTTCCATTTTCTTTTGGTCCCTTTTGCTTTTCCAAATAGCGTCCGATTGTTTTCTTCCTAACTAGTCACTAAACGTCCTCGACGTTTCTAGAAGTGGAGTTGGTAAGGGGACGGTTTCCAAATCTCACCAGTTAGTTTCCTACCACCTCACCCCTAAAAGGCCTTGAGTTTGGGGTTTGACAGCAGGGCTTGGGCTGTTTTTTGACTGGTGGCTCTGAACACTCACCCGGGAGAAGCCAGTTTCCCCACGAACCAGTGTCACAGAGTGGCTGTAGGCGTGGACGGTGACCAAGCCCACGTAGGAGACTTGGAGGCTGCCCCGGTGCTCGTTTTTGGCCTCCACACTGAAGGCTGGCAGGGTCTCGTCCTCTCCATTCAGCTCAGCCATGGTGTAGGAGCAGGTGCCCATCATGTCATAGCGACGGCCATCGAAGGTTGTGTAATGGGGATCACCCTGGGCGCGGCACACAGCTGTGGACTCTGCCACACACCTGGCCTTCCCGCTCACCATCTGGCAGCGCTGTCCAGATGTACACTGAACGCCTTGGCAGGATGCCTCTGCTGGGGAGAGCCGAGCTGCGGAGGAAGAGAGATAGAGTTAGAAATGCTTACGAGGACAGAAACCTGGGGCCTCCTTCAGTGTGGACTGTGGGCAGTGGGCTCGCGGCCACCCATTCTACAGGCATGGAAACTGAGGTTTGCAGCCTCGTGGAGAGGGATTCTCTGGGTTTCCTCACACCCCAGGGTTTCTGATCTCACTGTTTAGCACGGCTTGGCCCAGAAGCACGGCAGGTCGTGAAGAGGGACCAGGAGCGACCACTGGCACAATCATATTCCATTTCCCTCTTCCCCGTCTTCCCATGTGGCTGGAGTGGCCAGAGGATAGGAAGCGGGAGATGGGTCAGTGGGATGTGGGAGGAGCTTGCCGTGTGAGCAGGAGGACATGAGTCCAGATTCCAGCCCCAGGTGAAAGCTAGGCTCGGTGGCAAGTGTGTTAGCTCAGTGAGACTGGCCGGCAGTGACAGGCAGATCCCAGGGGCAGCTGCTCAGCCAGTTTAGCTGATTGAGAGCCCCAGGTTCAGAATCTCAAAAACAAACAGACAGGATGGGAAGGATCAGAAGAAGATGCCTGACTTTGAGCTTTGGCCGCTACACATGTTTTCTGGGGTGTGCGTAGTTGCATACACACATGTATGCCTGGGTGTCATACCTGCTTACACACATGCATGCCTGGGTGTGCAAACCTGCTTACACACAGATACACACATGCATGCCTGAGTGTAAATACCAGCTCACACACAGAAACACACATGTATGCCTGGGTGTGTATACGTACAGATACACACATGCTGTGAGTGCCCCCTTGAAGTGGGGTGGCATTTTTGTCAGGATGAGAAAGCCTTGGGTCTAGGTTCCCAGTCTGAAGACGATCTGGGAAGAAACAGCCCTTCCTGGTCAGCCCCCAGCCCGCAAGGACTCTCTCCTTCTGCCCCCCCCATGCCCCAGCATCAGCTCACCCTGCCCCGCCCTGATCTTTCCCCACAAGGTGATCTAAGGACATCCCATTCACCCATTTGCTCCACTCTCAGCACAGTCCTGTCGTGGGGGTGGGAGCGTCAGGCATTGTCCCTGTCACAGCCACAGACTCTGAGGCCTGGAGAGGTGCAGTGACAGGCTGGAGGTCACACAGGCACAGTTGGGTTAACCCAGGCCCTCTGGCTCTGGCCCTGTGTCCTCACAACACCAGAACTGCCCGGTGGCATCTTCTAAATGGGCTGAGCCCGAGGTCACACACAGGGCCAGATCCTGTCCCTTAACTATGCCAAGCACATGAAGCACCCAGGGCGGCTGGAGAGCAGAGACGCCCCATCCCGGGTCGTCATGGTTACTATTGAGGATCTCATGAGCATTGCAGTTAGCAACGGGTGTAGCTCTAGTAGTTTCTAAGGTATCAAAATACCGACCAGCGCCTTCCCAAAGGTCCTTCTATTTCAGCTCCCTGGGTCTCCCCAGAGGACCACAGCCTCCCCACAAACCAATAGAGCGCATGGTAGGGGCTTCCTGATGCAGTGCTGCCCGTAGTTGTTCTGGGGTCACTCATGTTGGTAAGTAGTTAGGATCGCTTGCTGTAGAGGTAGGGGAGGGGCTGACAGAAGCTAAGGGAGGACAGAGGTGAGACAGAAAGATTAACCGAGCCAGGAAGCCAGAGGGGAAAGGTAGGAAGGCGTGGCCAGAGGGCCCAGGCCAGGGGTCATTTCCCATCACTCACTCTGTCCACAGGCAGCTGATGTCCCATAGCCCACAGCCTGGGCCAGCCCGAAAGTGAGCAGCCCAAAGCTGGCGGCAGCCTCAGCTGTGTGAATCTTGTCAGCGGTGCCAAGATCCACTTCTGCATAGGAGAACTCACTGCCTGGCACGGCCACCCAGGTGAGCTTGGCCCCCAGGGCCTGCCCATCCACGGTCAGCTCACCGGTGGCCTTTGTCGGGGCAACCACCAGTGCCACGCCCTCAGTGCCTGGCATACTCTTGATCACATAGGCAGAGCAGTAGGCTGCCACATCTGGGATCAGGACCAGGTAAGGGTCATAGGTCACTTGGTCCTTTATGGCCCCTGTGCCAAACAGCGCAACCTGGATGCCCACGTCCGCAGACAGATACAGTGGCCGGGTTGGCCGGACCTCGAACTCGACCACGTCGCCCATCCGGAGGCCTCTGGAACCAACGGTGCCGCCGTGATTGTATGTCAGTTTTGTGGTCTGGCTGGCTACAACATAGGCTAGATCATAGCGGGACTGGGAGGCCAGAGGGGGGACCACATAGTGGGTCCCCCAAGCAGACGTGGGGAGCAGCTGCTCCACCAAATGGTTGCAGTCTGTGTGCTTCTGGGCACAACTGTGGCCAGAAAGAACTGCCACTGGGCTGTTGGCTGTGACCCGTGACCCGGAGAGATCTGCCGTGCTCTGTAACTGGGCTACCTCGTAGGGCTCCAGAGTCACACTTAAGGTACTACCAGCTGGATGGAAAGTGCCCTGGAATGTCACCGCTGCCTTCAAGCTGACAGTGACTGAGGCCCCCGCTCTGCCAGCCACCACAGCAAACTCCTTTACATACTGGGAAGAGATGCCAGGGGGTGTGAGCACAAAGTATTCTGTGCCCAGGGCTCCGACGGGCCAGAGCAGTGTTAGCTCTGCCGTTCCAGGCTTAGCATTTAACGCCTGCACAGAGATGCGGCGGTCAGAGCGGACCACTATGGCACGCTGGAAAGTGCTGCTGCCACTCATCTCTGCTTTGGCATTGATGTTGACCATGACTGACTCCCCGGGCTTCACTGCGACCTTCTGTGAGGTGGCATCGGCCTGGCTGAGGATGGTGACAGAGGCGGTGCTCTCTGACAGACTGGAGATGAAGAGGTGGAGAGAGGCAGTGCTGTACCCGGGCTGGGAGTTCTGCAGGAAGGCCGTGAGGAACTCTTCCCCACCAGTGTTCCCGGGGTCCACTGTGGCCTCCTGGGTCAACCCTTGAGAAAACGCAGTCGTGGGTCCGTTACCTGTTCCTCCCATTACAAACCCAACCCTCTGACCTGGGCCTGAGACCCTCTTGAGACAATGCTCCCCTTGCTCCTGGTCCCTTCCCTACTCCTGCCGTGCCCGGTCATCTGTAACCCTCCCGGCTTTGCTGCCCAGCGCCTGGGCACCTTGCACAGGGCTCTTGAGCTCAAAAGCAGCAGACGAGGACCAGACGTGTGTGAGGCAGTCCAGGCGGCGACTGCGGACCTGGAGCTCGTGCTCCCCCCGGGAACAGCTTTTGCTGGTTGTCAATACGAAAGGTTGGAGCCTTTCACATTTTTTTTTTTCAAGAAAAGCTGTTTGACTAAAGTTCTAAATGAAATTTCCACCCAATCTGTGTGGTGTCTGTCTTAATACGACTAGGGGATTTATGTGACGGGGTGAAGGCGGACAGCGATTGTAGAAGTGTGGACAGAGCGTCTGTGAGAACTATATGGTGGTGGTGGGCTTCTCCGTGTGTGTGTGTGTGTGTGTGTGTGTGTGTGTGTGTGTGTGTGTGAGAGAGAGAGAGAGAGAGAGAGAGAGAGAGAGGCATGAATGAACTATATCCCATTTCTTCCACTACCTAAGGGCCTCTCAAATTTCAGCTAGCCTCTGTTTCATCTAAGATAGCCCCAGGGGGTGGCACTGTGAGGTGGCACTGTGAGGGGACAGAACTTGAGGGTGCTGACCCAGGCAAGCAGAGTTTTCCCAGACAGGAACGGGTGCTTGATATGACTTACCCCACAGGAGGGTTGCTCCAGCCCAGAGGGCCCACAAGCTCCACGGGGATCCCATGCCTGCAGCTGGGAGAGAGGAAGGTCAGAAAAAGCTGTCCTGTTGGAGACCATTGCAGATAGGACAGAAGGGGACAGTCTCAAGGACAAGGGTCCCCTGGGTGTAAGGAGGGCTCAAGCGGGAAGGGCAGTTGAATAGATAGGAACAGAGGGGTTTGGGGTGGGGGTGAGGCTAGGCATGAGGGAGGAGGTCAGGGCCAAGGGTAATGGATGGGGAATTGGATACCCAGGGGTTTGAAGAGGAAAGTAAATGAAGCGGTCTAGAACCTGGGTCCAGACTAGGGCATTAGCTGTCCCCCTTCTGCAGGGAACCCAGCCCTTCTCACCTGCGGGTCCCGGAGCTGCAGGACCAGATTGCAAGCTTGGCTATATAGTGGAGAGTCCTGGCTCCTTTGGCCACACCCTGGGTCACCTGACAAGCACATGGTGCCAACTTCCTGGAGGAGGATGCTGATCTCAGACCAGGTGGAATGGGGAGCCCTGAAGACCTGCCAAGGGTGGAGGGTGAGTGTGCAGCCTGTGTTCTGAGAGCCATGTGAGAACAGCTGGTGGTCACACCCCAGGAACCTATGGATCAATTCAACCCTGGAAGGGCGTCGCCCTATGGAGACAGCTGGGGAGCAGTATGCTAGACCCTGGGTCCCTGGGCAGGGTTAGCGTAGTGGGCAGGGTTTGAAATTGAGATGGGAGGTGGTAACTGGTCATGTTTGCTGGCTCACTGGCCAGGTTAATTTCTTTGACCCCTGCCAGAAACAACAGTAAAGGACCCATATCCGGGTCCTAGGTCCTTGCAGTCCCAAGCTGAGCCTTGATTCCTAGCCATCTTTGAGTCACCAGTGGAGGGCAGAGGTCTGGGGACGGGCAGGGCTCTGAGGCCTCCACCCAGGCCTGTGACATGTATCATAACATCCTTACCCCAAGCCCATCGGGGTCTCCTGGGTTTCTCACCTATGAGGTGGAAACGTGGAAAACTAGCTTTGATGGGCCCCTTGATGTTCGGAGGTGCTCTTTATCTACTTGTAGCAGAGAGGGGTACAGTGGGGGGTGCTGGAGCTCAGGCTTTGTGTGACAAAGGCCAGAGGTCTCTATTTCCTGATTCCACAAGACCATGACGATTTCACTTCCTGGAGAATTATTTGGTTTGGGATTTTTGCTTTATGTGGTTTTGTTATCCTTTCTTTCTTTCTCTCTTTCTTCCTTTCTGTCTGTCTTTTTTCTTTTTTTTCTCTCTCTCTCTTTCTTTCTTTCTTTCTTTCCTTCTTTCTTTCTGTCTGTCTGTCTGTCTTTCTTTCTTCTGTACTCTTGGAAAGGACCGGCTGGACAGGTTTTGAGTGACTCTGTTCCTCTCTGTTACCCTACAATTGGACTGAGGTGAGGCACGGGGACCAGGTGGCACAGAGAAAGGCAGGGTAGTGTGGGTTTTCTGGGCTGGAGTCAGGATGTCTAATGGGACTGACCTGACCCATGCCATACTCTTCTGATCCCTGCTGTGGAGATCACTGTTTCCTGAGGAGTCTCCTCAGCAAACAGCAGCTGCAAAGCCTAGAGTCCTCTGTCAACACCCCCCTCCCAAGTCCTCCTCCCTTATCACCGAGGCCTGGACTTCTGTGCAGCCTGGGAGGGTGGGGGATCTTCTCTCTCTAGAGCTGTGACATCCCATCTAACCACCTATGACAGGTTTTCAGGGGGGGGAAGATAAAGCTTTGGTACTGATAGGGCCCTCAAATCAACCAGGAAAGTCAAGTGAGTAAACAGGAGGCTGGATTAAAGCCAGAGATAATGAGAAACAGGGGGACGGGTGGGTGGGAGTGAGTAGGGCGGGAGCCATGCAGAAGGAGGACTTTGGGAGGACAGGGTATCGTCAGGGAACCCCTCTGAGAGCTGGGAGAGAACATGACCACGTCCCTGAGGGAGATGTGGAGTGGGAAGAGAGGGCATCAGGACTTGCAAGGAAGAAAGTGACTGCCAACTAGGATGTCAAACTACTCGGTGTGGTTACCTCTCTTCTCCCTTGAGGCACTCAGGGAGATGAGATGTGAGGAGGGAAACATTAGGGTGACTTTTCAGAGATAAGCCTGACCCCCTTTCTGCACACTCCTCTAAGCCTTAATGTCTCCCCTGACTGAAACCAAAGAGAAACACCTGCCGCTTTGGTCACTGCCCTCTGCGGATGGAGACCTCAGAAATAGGGTGGGCGGAGCAAGTTGTAGGAATACTGTAACTTGGCAAGCCCTTGTGTCTGTTACTCCTTTCAGGGTTCAAGTGTGTGTGTGTGTGTGTGTGTGTGTGTGTGTGTGTGTGTGTGTGCACTTGCATATGTGTGTATTATGACACACTCCTGTTCCCTGCCCCAGATTATTTATATTCTCAGGAATCTCACTAACAACCCCGGAAATAACCCAGAGGGACACTTCCTTATGGTCAAAGAAACCATATCCATCCTGCCAATGGTGGCTTTCTTCTGAGCCCAAGCAAAGGGTGCACACGCCTGAACTTTTGGGCCTCTCCTTATATCTGAGGCAGGCCACACCTTTCCAGACCCGGGGACCCGACCCTCTGACTTGTCTGGGCTCCGCCAGCCAGGGCACAGGGCAAATGGCTTACTGTGTCCAGCTAAGAAGAGGTTTTTCTGGAAGTTTCTGACTTTATTCCTTCACACTCTGGCCTGGATGATCTGACCCGGACGTGCACAGGGTCTGCTCTAAATTCTCCACCGACCTGCTACCTGGTTCTAGCTCCTTCTCTGAATCCTCAGACACCAATGTTTCCTCACTGAAACTGTCTTAGCTTGCACAGCACTTTCTGGGTTTTGTAACACGTTAGTCTGTTTCCTACACGCACACCTGCAACGCTGGTGACTTCCGGAATCCTTTTATGGTCTTTCTATAATTCTTTTCCAGAATGCAACCATGTTCGCCCATGTTGCCCAGCAGAACGTCCTGTGATGGACACTTTCTGTCCTTTGCCTGTGGTAGACAATGGAGCTATTGACCTCATGAGGCTACTGAGCACTTGAAATGTGAGAAGCGTAACGGAGGAGCCGGACATTTGTTTAGTGTAACTTATAAAGGGGACCTGTGTGTCCGGTGCTCACATTAGCCACCGCACAACAGTAGAGCTGTCTCTAGCACAGGCTCCGTGCTGTCCACTCGTCAGGGTGCTTTATCTGCCCCGCCATCCACATGCCTGATACTCATTTTCCATTCCTTCAGTTTCCTTATAGACAACTGTTCTGAAGTGATCCACGAGTCTATTTTTCCAAATATCTGATTAAAATAAGATACTGTATTAATAAGTAAACAAACCATAAATGTATATAGCTCATTAAATCACCTCAAATAAATACACCCTTACAATCTTCGGGTGAAGCCAGGCAAAGTCTTCAGCAAGAACATTCCAGCGTTGCAGAGACCCTCTCTGTGATCCCTCCCAAACGCTTCTCGAAAGCTAGTGACTATTTGGCTTCTAATGTCACAGGCTATTTTGTGATTGAATTCCTTGTAAATAGAACCGTGTTTGTCTTGTTCTGTGATTGTCTAATTTCAATTAATGGCTTCTTGGCCCAATTAACTACAATTCATTTTCAATGTGACATGCTACTGAGTTATATGAAAATATACTTATCCACAAACATTTGGGTTGTTTTTACTTTAATGTATTTTGTGCATGTACACAATTTCTTTGAAAAGTATCGTGAAGTTCCTAGCTGGTTTTTTGTTTGTTTGTTTGGTTTGTTTTTGGTTTTGGTTTTTTTGAGACAGGGTTTCCCTGTATTGTTTTGGAGGCTGTCCTGGAACTTTCTCTGTAGACCAGGCTGGCCTGGAACTCACAGAGATCCCCCTGCCTCTGTCTTCTGAGTGCTGGGATTAAAGGTGTGCATCACCAACGCCCGGCTGAAGTTCCTAGCTGTTAATTTCCCAGGTTACTGGATTAAGATTGAGATGCTGTCAATATCTTTCAAAACTAAGGCACTAATTTGAACTTGCACAATATGTACGACCTTTATGACCACTTCAGAGCTATGCCAATGCTTTCTAAAAGTGTAGCGGTATGGATCCGAGGTTCTGAATATTTTATGTTTTTGCATATGCATGTCTGAGTACACGACTGTGCACGGCGTGTGGGCAGGAGTCCCCAGCATTCTGCAGAAGACTCCAGATGCGCTGAAGTGGAGTTCAGAGGGCTGTGAGCCACCATGTGGGTGCTGCGAGCTAACCCTGACCCCTCTGCAGGGGCAGCCACTGCTCTCAGGGGCTGAACCATCTCTCCAGACCCTGACCTCGGTTTCAGTTTGCCTCTTTGTCAGCGAGGTCGGACACGTTTTCATGTGTTTATTGGCTGTTTGGATCTCTTTCTTGTGATTTCAGACTCACTAAGTTCCTTTCCCAATGTATTTCATTGTCTGTGTAACTGATCTGTATGGATTCTCCATACATTCTGAACATAAACTGTTTGCTGGTTATGATTTGCAAATATCCCCCCTTCTCTGTGACTTAGCTTTTAATATTCCTAAGAATACAAAAGAATCTTAATATTAATATAGTCCATTTTGGAACTGGCCTTTTCTTGTGACAATATTGAGTGCCCCAATCATGAACATTATCTTTCCATTTATTTAGATCTTGATTTCACCAGTATTTTGAAATTTCTCAGAATACAAATCTTCTACTTATTCTGTTAGATTTACTAACGAATTTTAACTTTTTCTGGTGCAATCATATTTCAGATTCCAGGCTTTCATTGTTAGTGTGCAGAAACTTATTCAACTTTTGTCAGGTTGGGCCTTCCTCTTTTCCCGAAGTTTAATATCTTTTTCTCATATTCTTGCTGCCTTCCGAATGGTTCAGAGCTCTGAGAGTTGGTTCTCTTTTCACGTGGCTTCTGGGGAACAAACTCAGGTCATCAGGCTCGTGTGGAAAATGCCTCTGCCCATTAAACCATCTCACTAGTCCTTGCTCATTCCTTTACTATCAAGTGCCTTTCCGCATCTATTGAGATGATCTTACAGTGCTGTCGTTCATTCTGTCAACGTGTCCTGCCATGTCTACTCTGTTGCTTATGTTGAAACATCCTTGCATCCCTGAAATTAATCCCATGTGTCCATGCTCACTAGAATACTCTAATTGCTGTCTGGTTCTGTTTGCTAATCTTCTGTCTAGGAGATTTTGCATCTATGTCAAAGAGAATATTAGTATTCCTTTCTCTTTTCCACCTTTGCGTTTGTTTGAGACAAGGTCTCTCCACATAGCCTTGGCTGTCCTGGAACTCACTATGTAGCCCAGGCTGGCCTCAAATTCACAGAGATTTGATCCCCAAGTGCTGCAATTAAAGGCATTTGCCACCACACCAGGCTATTTGCCTTTCTATTTTTATTATGATTCGTGATGATCAGCTTTCATTGCCAACTGGGCTGGATTCAGAACCACTCAGAAAACTCTGGGCATGTCTGTGAAAGACATTTCTAGCATGTTTTAACCAAGGAGGGGTTGTGTGTGTGTGTGTGTGTGTGTGTGTGTGTGTGTGTGTGTGTGTGTGGTGTTTTATGCACATTTTATGTGCACTAGTATTTTGCCATGGGTGTTGGGTCCCCTGGAACTGGAGTTACAGACAGCTGTGAGCTGCCATGTGGGTGCGGGGAGTTGAACCCAGATCCTCTGGAAGAGCAGTCAGTACTCCTTTTTTTTTTTTCCGGTTTTTCGAGACAGGGTTTCTCTGTATTGTTTTGGAGGCTGTCCTGGAGCTCTGTCTGTAGACCAGGCTGGCCTCGAACTCACAGAGATCCGCCCGCCTCTGCCTCCCGAGTGCTGGGATTAAAGGCGTGCGCCACCAACGCCCAGCCCCAGTCAGTACTCTTAACCGCTGAGCCATCTCTCCAGCCCACTAAACACTGTTTGAATTATTCCTTGTTATCCCCACTGATGTGGGTGCCCCTCTGTGTGCTATGAATATGTTTTGTTACCATTGGTTAATAAAGAAGCTGCCTCGGCCTATGGCAGGGTCAAATGTAGCTAGACGGGAGAGCCAAGCAGAGAGACAAGGAGAAAGAAGGCAGTCGGGGAACTGCCAGAGGAACAAGATGCCAGAGCATTGGCCGTAAGCCACGGGGCACGTGGTGATACATAGATTATTAGAAAAGGGTTCATTTATACATAGAACTAGCCAGTAAGAAGCCTGAGCCATTGGCAAAACAATTATAGTTAACATGAAGCCTCTAAATGATTATTTCATAAGCGGCTGCAGGGACTGGCAGGTAGGAGATACACCGGTCGAGCCGGGCCAGACGGGCCAGAGAAAGGACTTCCAGCTACACACCACCGTAAATGCTGACGGCACCGTGGACTGATTAAAAAGGCACAGAAAGGCCGGGCGTTGGTGGCGCACGCCTTTAATCCCAGCACTCGGGAGGCAGAGGCAGGCGGATCTCTGTGAGTTCGAGACCAGCCTGGACTACCAAGCGAGTTCCAGGACAGCCTCCAAAGCCACAGAGAAACCCTGTCTCGAAAAACAAAGAGATTCAGAGGGAGAACAAAGACTACCAGAACTGGAGCAGAGGCCCATGGGTTACGTTCTGTTTAAAAAGAAAAATCTGTCTTGGCAACTTAAATGAGGCTGAATTCAAAAGCAACAGACTAATTTGTTTACAAAAAGACATTTCAGTCTTGATTGCTGCTCTCAGGGAGAAAGACCAGCGATGGGAGCGAAATCGTACGAGGAGTCTGCTCTTGGAAAGGCAATCACGTGGACACGTTGAAGGCTGCAGACAGGAGGCTAGGGAGAAAGTTGTCATAGCTGTTAGGGAAATGAGCACAGCCCAGGAGAAACCTTGACCGCTTCACTATGATAACGGGAAAGCTGCTTTTAGGGCAAGAGCTAACGTCTGAAAAGTTCCTGCTTGTGAAAATGAAAATGCATTTAAGAAACAGAACTTACGCCGGGCGGTGGTGGCGCATGCCTTTAATCCCAGCACTTGGGAGGCAGAGGCAGGCGCATCTCTGTGAGTTCGAGGCCAGGCTGGTCTACAGAGCGAGTTCCAGGACAGCCTCCAAAGCCACAGAGAAACCCTGTCTCGAAAAAACCAAAAAAAAAAAAAAAAAAAAAGAAACAGAACTTACGAAACGAGGGAGTAGACAGACCGGGAGGGAGCGTCAAGGGTGAGCAGAGACTCTCCAGTCCTTTCTGTCATAGCCACAGCCAGCTGTAAAGAAAGTCCCTCGTTACTGGACTTTGGGCAACAGCTATCAAAAGCTTCAAGAGAACAATTTCTCTAACAAGATACCGTGGATATTTTACACCAGGGCTTAGAAGACTCACAGGCCAAGTTCGGCCCAGTCTTTTTTTTTTTTTTTTTTTTTGTATGGGGGAAACTAAAATGTTTTTTTTTTCTTTTTTACATTTTTAAAAGAAAGACATTCATGAGTGATAACATATGTGGCCTATACAACTTGGTATTTGCTAGTATTTGGAGAGAGTCCCCTGACTTGTTTTTGTGTCATTAGCTACCTGTGTGCAGAAGAAAAGGCAAACTTGATTAAGGAAAGGAAATAATGCTGCCTCTTTATCCTACAACCATGGCACTGCAAAAATAACCTCCCTTTTCTTTTTTATTTTTTTTTCTTTTTCTTTTTGGTTTTTCGAGACAGGGTTTCCTCTGTATTGTTTTGGAGGCTGTCCTGGAACTTGCTCTGTAGACCAGGCTGGCCTCGAACTCACAGAGATCAGCCTGCCTCTGCCTCCCGAGTGCTGGGATTAAAGGTGTGCGCCACCAACGCCCGGCTCCTTTTCTTTTTTAAAATGAACTATTTAAGTCAGAAAAAAGAAAAATGAATCAGAATTGAGAACATGTTGCACCCTTCCCCCATGGGGGTCTGCTGACCAGCTTGTGTCTAGGAGCTTCTAGCTAAACACCTCTGTCCACTCTTCCCAGTAAGGCCTGCGTGCAAGTTCCTGTTTCTGTCCATCCTTATTGTCTAAACGCTAATTCCTGTTTTGGCCCACCCTTTGCAGGAGGGCCCTGGGAACATAGGCTTCTGACCTTGATGGTTTTCCACCATGCCTGCCTTTGGTATATAAGTCTCCACTCTTGTTAAAATGAACGCCATTCTCCTTGTAAGAATGAGCCGCTGTCTTTGTCTTTATTTACATCCTTAGCCCTTTACCTCGGATCGTTGTGAAGTGTTGTCGCCCCATAGCCGCGAACACCGAACACCGTTGGCCTACTACAGATGGAGGTCTCACCGAGATCGAGAAACAAGAGAAACTGCTAAAGAATTACACTTGAATGCTGGCCAGCAAGTAAGGTAGGAGGGTTATTTGGATAGGGGTACCGAGTTAAGGGTACAGAGTTAGGCCCCAGATAGTGGGTCAGCCCCCTTAGAGGGGTGGTTTAAAGTTAGGCTCCAGATGATGGGTCAGTCCCCGTAGAGGGGTGGTTTAAAGTTAGGCTCCAGGCCTGGCTTGACCCATCGTGGTCAAAATTGTCAGGGAATTCCTGAGAGCCCACCCCCACAGAAAGCCAGCCAGCATTCTCATTAAGGTTAGGAGTGAGTACAAATAGGTATGGGTACAGCTAGTTCCTACCCTCTGTTGGAGGACCATTTGATACAATTGTTACAATGCCAGGGCACAATTATCAGACATAAGACAGCTAAGAACTTCTTGAAAACTATACATAAAGTCAGCCCTTGGTTTTTGGTCTCTGGTGATCTTAATTCCCTTGATTGGAACCAGGTTAGAGTGGACCCACAAAGAACTTTACATAACGAAGGGCCAAATGCCATACCAATTGTTGTCTTTTCTCTGTGGCGTCTTGTAAGGGCGCACTTATTAGTGATGATACGGTAGTAAAGGAGCAGGTCAGGAAAACTAAGGATGCCTTCACAGAGGCTCAAGACCTAGAGTCTGTTAGATCAATTCAAGCTTCCAATGTTTCCCCTTCTGAGTCCTCTCCCTCTTCTTCAGGACATGAGACGGAGGAACACGAAAAGCCTCAACAAAAAAGGGCATTCTCAAATTAAAAAACAAGCTTAAAAAATGCTCCCTTAAGCCACGTCCCCCTGCCTGTAATCCTAAGGCGGTTTTGGCATGTGGGCCTCCCGCCTTTTCAATCTGGCCATTTTTGAATCCTTTGCTGCCTTAGTTTGCCCCCCTGGTATTTGGCAGTGATTATATCGTGCTGTGCAGTTGGGGGGAGGTTGTTTGGCCTGGAGGGGTGAGTGCCGGGAACCGGGTGGCCAGATGGCACGGCTGCCGGTTTCCCTGGTGGGAATTTGGAGGTGCCTGCTGGCATGGGAGCCTATGCTCTGGGACAGCAGGTTCTTTTTTTTTTTTTTTAATTATGAAGCTGTTGGCCGTTTATTTGTTTCTTACTGGCTAGCTCTGACTTAAGAACTTAAGCCATAATCGCTAATCTAAATATTTCTCTTACCGGAGAAAGGGTCCGGACTTCTTACCCCTATGGTGGCTATATCGTAACTCCCTGTGTTTCTCCTCCCCAGAGTCCTCGTTGACTCCTGAGCAGGTTCTTTATGCAGACCTCAATGGCTTCTGGCTGCACATTTGGGGATCTTCAGACCACTTTGGGACTGGCTGGCTTGTGGGTGACAACGGAGAAGGTACAAACTGCTCATGCTCCTACAGGAGTTTTTTTTGGCAAGAGATTCCCATTCTTTGGGTTCATTCTCAAGCCTCCCTTTCTAAATCTGTGGTGTCCTACCCCCAAGCTATAGTTGAACTCCTGTTTAAAGCACAAAAAATTGCCTTACAAACCTTTGGTAAGCAGCCAGGTCAGGTTGTTACTCCTTTGTCCTGCCAACAAATAGAGTGGCTGCAAAATAATACTTGTGACCGGGCCATTTTCCTCTCTGTTACTCAGAGTTGTGTTGATAATCATTACCCATCCAATAATTTGGTTTCCTTTTTTAAAATGCATCCTTTGATTTTCCTAAAAATTGTAGTCTCTCAGCCTATTCCTAAGGGGCAAATGGTTTTCACAGATGGTTCTTCTAAAGGTACAGCTGGAGTCATGACTTATCCGATCATTAAGACAGCCAAAAATCCTACAACTTCTGCCCAAATGGCCGAACTTTCAACTCTGGCCCTTGCTCTACAACTCTTCCCCACGGAAGCAGTCCAACCCTTGGAGATTGCTGCCTATGTTGCGCCCATCTCTAGGATACAAGAGAGTTTATTACAGGTACAAGGTCTGCTATGGCAACGGAGCGAACCTGTATTTGTGGGACATCTTAGGGCCCACACCCCTTTGCCAGGGCCCCTCAGCGAAGGAAATCGCACGGCTGACAGGTATGCTCAAATTGGTGTGGTTTTACAAGGGCTCACTAAAGCACAATCCCTACATAAACACTTTCATCTTAGCCCAGGGTCCTTAACACTTTCATACTGGGATTACCTAAGAACAGGCTGTTCAAATAGTTAAGGATTGCCCTCTTTGTATAGAATTTCTTCCTGTGCCTCACTTGAGAGTTAATCCTCGAGGACTTTTGCCTAACCACATTTGGCAAATAGATGTAACGCATGTGCCATCCTTTGGTAAATTACAATTTGTCCATGTTTCTGTAGATACTTTTTCCCACCTGATATTCGTCTCTGCCCACTCTGGTGAAAAAGTGAAAGATGTTAAGAGCCACTGTTTACAGGCTTTTGCTTACCTGGGGGACCCAAAACAAATTAAGACTGAAATGGCCCCGCCTATGTCAGCAGAGGTTTCAATCACTTCTGTCTAGATTTTCATGTTTCCCCCAAAACTGGAATTCCTTACAACCCCTGAGGGCAGGCTATTGTGAAACATGCTCATTGCACTCTAAAAGCCTATTTAGCTAAAGAAGGGGGATCTTGAGGGCCACCTCTGCTCCCCTCACTCTACTCTATTATTTATCCTCTCTATCTTAAAATTTTTAATTGTGGATGCTTCTGACAACTCTGCAGCAGATCGTCATTGGCAGTCTGCTGTACAGCAAAAACCTCTAGTTAAATGGGAAGACCTAACCTTGGTCTTTGGAAAGGACCAGATCCAGTTTTGGTGTGGGCCCAGGTGTCTGTTTGTGTATTCCCACAGGATGGTGAGTACTCAATTTGGGTTCCAGAGCGTTGAGTGCACTCTGTTCCTGCTGATACTCATCAGCCACCAATAGACTCATTAGGCTTTAATGAGGAACCCACCTGTCCTGATGCTGGCGGGTCTTCAGTGTCAGGAGTATCCAGCTTTAATCAGCCTCAACCGTAACCTAGGAAAGGCAGCCCTCAGGATGGATTTGTCGGCTTGGACATTTGCTATATTCAATAACACTCCCTCGGGACAAATGCTTAATTATTTCCTCCAGGAATGCCGCTTGAGAAGCTGTTGGGATGGTGAAATATCAGCCTTGGTGGTCCGTGTTCCAGGTGTCATGCCTATTCCAGTGGAACACTCAGGAGAGAACCAGCTCATCCTCACAGGACACGGGAGTGACTTTGACATCACAGTGGCTGCAGTTTTTGGCTTCCCTATCTGTTAGCCTGTTGCCACGGCAGGCATGCAGGATAAACCCCCAGGGGAGGATGCCTCTACATTAAGTTCCCAAATTTATACTAATTACAATTGCGCACTTTAAATCTTAATTAACAAATGGACTTAATCGGCTATTCTAACTGAGATCAGGGTGCCTCCCTTTTGGGAGACCCCCATCTTAACAGGACTGCAGCAGACAGGTCTATTACTTAAGATACGAGTGGGTTGCTAGCCCTCGGGATTATGACCCTGGGCAACTCAGTCTTTAGCCCTAGTTTGCCATATGGAAAGACCACAAGCCCAGAGCCATTTTCTTACAAAGCAGATCATGCTTTCCTTGTCAACAGACAACCCCTCAGTGCAGGCCTGGTTTAGCCAGCAAGACAAATGAGTTATCAGTGACGGGTACGTTCCGGGGGACAGCTACCAACCTAAGACAGAGGGTTTGTGAGGCCTGGACAGACTTCTCGATGATGGGTAAAACAGATGTTAACGTCCTGGGCAAGCCGGGCATTGGTGGTACACACCTTTAATCCCAGCACTCGGGAGGCAGAGGCAGGCGGATCTCTGTGAGTTCGAGGCCAGCCTGGTCTACAAAGTGAGTTCCAGCCACAGAGAAACCCTGTCTCGAAAAAACAAAAAACAAAAACAAAACAAAACAAAACAAACAAACAAAAAAAAAAACGTCCCGGGCAACCTAAGCAAGATGCTCATTTTTTAATTATATAAAAAAGGGGGATTTGTTGCACCCTTCCCCCATTGGTGTCTGTTGACTGCTTGTGACTATAAGCTTCTAGCAAAACACTTCTAGTCCCCTTCTCCCAGTAGGGCCTGCGTGCAAGTTCCTGTTTATTGTCTAAATGCTAATTCCTGTTTTTCCCCCACCCTTTGCAGAAGGGCCCTGGGAACATAGGCTTCTGACCTTGGTGGTTTTCCACCATGCCTGCCACTGGTATATAAGTCTCCACTCTTGTTAATACAAACTCCATTCTCCTTGCAAGAATGAGCTGCTGTCTTTGTCTTCATTTACATCTTTAGCCCTTTGCCTCGGATCGTTGTGAAGTGTTGTAGCCCCATAGCCGCAAACACAGTTGGCCCGCTACAAGAATACAGCTGAAGGGGTCCTCTGCTCAAAAGCAACCACCTAAGGAAGTATTTTCCCAGGTTCAGTTGCCAAGGTACACAGACTACAGCTGCCCTGGAAGACGGCCAGATAATATCTCAAGGTGGCAGCAGAACTTCGTAACACTGTCCAAACCGTGCTGGTTTGGCATGCATGCAACATACAAGATCAGGGTGGAGAGTTGGCTCGGCCATTAAAGGCTAGGCTCACAACCAAGAAATAAGAGTGGCAGGATCCTAAAACCTTGCACCAAGGTTCCAGAAAGCTACTAAGTTCGGGCTCTAAATGGTGCAGCTCTGAAGGGAGAGGTACCCTGGCAGTCAGGAGTCAAGAAGTACTACCACAAAGCCACACTGCACAAGAAGCCTCACACAAGAGATACGTTGGAAAAGACACAAGAGGGTGGCTGCCTCTTCTTGAGTGAGAAGCAGGAGGGAACTGAGTGGTTGTCAGCCTTATATAGGGCTTCTTAGGAATGGAGTATTCCAGGGTGGGGATTGGTGGGACTTCTAAACCCCAAAGTGAGCTCCAACTTTTTTTTTCCAAGACAGGGTTTCTCTGCGGCTTTGGAGGCTGTCCTGGAACTAGCTCTTGTAGACCAGGCTGGTCTCCAACTCACAGAGATCTGCCTGCCTCCTGAGTGCTGGGAGAGCTCCAACATTTTACCCGACCCAAGCAATGTGTGACAGAGTCAGATTCAGTACAAAAAGTTCCATAATGTAGGGTTGTGAATGTGAAACCTAAGTTGCAATGTTGAACGCTGGAGATGCTAGCACCATGGAATGTCTCTCAAGGAAAACTGTAGGCATGGAGTGAAACTGGTCCAATAGAGGTGGTGAATATCACGGTGGCTACAACTATCAGAGCTTGAGGAACGTTGTTACCTACTGCTGCTGGAACTGAGATGATGCTTCTAAGAGTCCAAGATGACAGGCATGAAGCTGTAAGATTTGGTGCTTGCTCTACTGGATGTCTATCTTGCTATGCCCCAGACCCCACTTTTAGGATGGAAATATTTGCCTTACTGTTGTATATCGGAAGAAGATAACTTTTGTAAAACAGATGTTCAGAGCCAAGGAGTTAACCTAGACTCAGCAGATGCCCTGACTTTACTATTCAGTCAATGTTAGAAACTGCTAAGCTTTTAGAGGCTTTTAATGGTGATCCAAATTTATTTTGCATTGTGAGATGAATATGAGATTCTAGGGGCTAAAAATGAGATGTTATGATTTAAAAGTAATATTTTTGGGTGCCAAGTTGACAAGGGGAGGACTTGTGATGGTTGATCCTCGTTATCAGATCACCCTTGGCTACGTCTGTAAGGGTTTCTAGAGTTTTATTTGAGCAATGACCCAACCACCCACTAGACAGGATGGTACCATTCAATGGCCTTAGATTCAGGCTAAATAAAGGGGAACAGGAGAAAGTGAAGTGAGTCTTAGATTTACCCTTTCCTGCTTCCTAACTGTAGATCCACTGTGGCCAGCCGCCTCACACTGCACTAACATGCTTTCCCCACCAAAACGGACTGTGCTCCTTCAAACCCTGAGACCAAATAAAGCTTTCCTTCCTGAAGCTGGTTCTTATCAAGTGTTGTTGTTATCGTTCTTATTTTGTTGGTGTTTTGCCTGCATGGATCCCTCTATGAAGGTGTTGGGTCCTGAGTTACAAACAGTTGTGAGCTGCCATGTGGATGCTGGGAATTGAACCCAGGGCCTCTGGAAGAGCAGACAGTGCTCTTAACTCCTGAACCATTTCTCTAGCCCCCTATCAAGTATTTCTCTACACAGCAACAAGAAAGGTAACTAGGCAGTGTGCCTATGTCTTTTATGGTTGCGGTATCTGTGTCATGATGGCCTTGTAAGATGTATTGGAAACTTAATTTTCAGACCAATGCTGTTGTTCTCACTAATCTACAGTGATCCCGTGTGGTGTCAGAGCTACAGTGATCTGTGGTGTCACGTGCAATGTCTCTCTTTCACCTTCCATTTTATTTGAGCCTTCTCTCTTAGTCTTTTTAAATCTTTTTGTTTATTTTTTTCTTTAACTTTTTACACATGTCACTCTCAGTTCCCTCTCCCTCCTCTCCTCCCCCACTCCCCAATCCTCCCAACTCCCCACCCCACCCCATTCCCCCTCTACTCCCCAGGGAGGGCAAGGGCTTCCATGGAGGATTTTCAGAGTCTGTCACATCATCCTGGGCAGGGCCTAGGCCCTCCCCAATGTGTCCAGGCTGAGAGAGCATCCCTCCATGTGGAATGGGCTCCCAGACTTCATTTTATGCCAGGGATAAATACTGTAGTGGTTTCTCTGATTACAGTGCTTGAAGAAACCAAAGGAAAGAGGCATTAGGAATCTACTAGCAACTGGGCGGTGGTGGCGCAAACCTTTAATCCCAGCCTCGGGAGGCAGAGGCAGGCGGATCTCTGTAAATCTGGGGCCAGTCAAGCCTACACAGAGAAACCTTGTCTTGAAAACAAACAAACAAAAAAGCAAAAAAAAAAAAAAAAAAAGAATCTACTTGCTGACAGTTATACACTCACAGTTGATTAAGTGTCAGCTGAAGTCCCAATGAGTTCATATCAGCTTTGTTTTAATAGTCAACAGATGTCCATCAATACAATATCAATTTATACTAAAAAATAAAAGGAATGAACTGGTGTATCACCAAAAATAAAAGACCCAGAGACAGATATTGGGGTTCAAGCTTCAAACTGAAGATCAGAAAAGCAAAGCAGCCAAGCTAGATTACCAAGCTGAAATGGCAATCCTGTCTCCATGAATCCTCAGAGGCAAAAGCTCTCAAAGCTCTCAGATCCTGTCTCCTCCTTCTTTTATTCCTTTCTCTGCCCAGCGGTATCACTCCTGTCTCCACCTCCCTAGTACTGGGATTAAAGTGCTGAGATCACCTTTGTGTGAGCTGTTTCTTTTAGGACTGGATCAATTTCGTGTAGTCATTGTGGCCTTGAACTAACTGGGATCTGTCTACCTCTTAATCCTGAGTCCTGGGATTAAAGGTGTGGGCCACCACTGCCTGGCTAGCTAGTATGGCTACTGGGATTAAAGGTGTGGCCACCACTGCCTGACCTCTATGGCTTGTGGCTGGGTTTGCTTTCTGAATCCCCAGGCAAGCTTTAATGAATCATAGATACTGTATCACCACAAACTGTTAACATGCAATAGCATGGGTGCGTCTCAGAATAGTTGTACTGAGTGAAAGAGCACATGTGATGCAGTTCTATAAACTTCTAAGGTGTAGTTTTGAGAGGGGGAACGTAAAGGGACATAAAAGAACATTGGAGTGTAGTAGATGCCTTTATTATCTTAATCCACGTATGTATAAAATATCAAGCCATATCAAATTGTACACTTTAGGCATGTGCCGGTGAACTGGGCCAGTGAGACAGGGCAGTGGACAAGGGGACTCGCCACCAATACTGGCAACCTGACCTCCCCCCAGAGGTCCCAATGGTGGAAGGAGAGAACAGACTCCCACAAGCCATCTCCTGACCTGCGCACATCTGTCCTGCCATACAGATGCCCCCAGCCCCCAAATAAAAAGCAATGAAATCTGAAATGGGTATTATTTATTATAGATTGGCTATAGCTACTTCATTAAGGTATTATTTAAGAAAGTGAAATAGGTATAAATATACCAAGCTATAGGGATAATCTGTATGTTGAAAAGGAAAAGAGAATAAAAAAAGGAAATCAGTGACTTAAATAGGCCCACCACAGGATATAGATCAGAAGTGTCAATATTGCTACAGTGCCAAGTCTTCTTGAATGCAGTCCACACAGAAACTCCAGCAGGGTTTTTGGTATATTATGGAAACATGCATATCATGCACATATGTGTGAAGAGAATCTGGGCTAAGAGTGTGGGCAGTTCTTAGACGTGTTCTTTAATCCTGAAAATTCAAACTAAAAAGATTTTTGAAAAAGATTTATAATTTTTTGCTCTGTTACTTTTTTTTTTTTAGACCGGCTCTCACAACCTGCTATGTAGGTCAGGCATGTGCCTGCCTCTGCTTTCAGAGTATTGGGATTAAAGGCACGCACCATCACCACTGGCCTTACTTTTTTTTTTAAGTATTATTTTGTGAATGCTTCACTAAATCCTTTAAATTGTACTATAGCCCATAACAAATGTCCCAAATTTTACTTGACCTAGGCTGGGCAGATGACTGGATGTTAAAATACTAACTGCTTTGGCAGAGGACCAGGGTTCGATTCTCAGCACCTACCCGGTGGCTCATAACCAACTCTACCTCCAGTCCCGGGTGACTGGACACCGTCTTCCAACCTCCTCGGGCACAGCATCATACACACAGTGCACAGGCATACATACAGGGAAAACACACATGCGTGTGAGATTTTTAAAAAATGGAAAAAGTTTGAGTTTACTAACCTAGCAACTGTCGTTAGATATTCAGAAGTGTTTCTCCCAGGTTTAACATTTCTTCCTTTCACTGTTATTTTTGCTGTCCTC